AATGGAGGGAAGCTTTTAATTACTACGTAGGAGTTAATCAAAGCTTATCTATCTATTTTAATATGGATTAACTGAAAAATCAATTGGACTAACGTTAACTTTCTATAATTTAAAGTAATGAAAAATGCTCCCGAGAACGATCCATCCCAGTCTGGAGTTCCTCATGATACTTAAGTACACTCAATTATATTTTACGCGATTTTAGTGCAGAATTTTCAACACTATCATATTTTTCTTTTATTTTTTCTGATTTTTTTAAACAAGTTACACTAAATTTTACTGCAAATTGAGATCACACGATAAATAGTACGGACGAAAATAAAACGCGTAGAATAGAATTGAGTGTAGTTCATTTATCGTAATGTATGAACTTTAAATCATTTTAGTATAATAGTGCCTGTTGCTATTACTTTGGGAAGCGAGCAATTCATTGAACACTGTTTCTGATATAAATGAAAATTGTAAACATGTGATTGATTGCCAGGGGAAATCTGAACGATTCATTCGATCCAGACTATCTGATACTGTCTCACCTACAAATGATCGAAACAAATAAACACCGCTTCTGATTGAAAATTGTGATAATGTTGTTTATAATCTACTATCACTCTCTGGGAGTGAAAATGTACATACGGAACCAAGTAGGGAAGGTGGCTCTACTGTTTGTCATTGGTATGATAATAATGGTGCAACAACCAATTTGGGTAAATAACGAAAAATTAGTTAAAAAACGCTTTGCATTTGCATTTTTCTTTGACACTTAGGATGAAGATAAGCAGAGTCTTTACCAACAATAGAGGTTGACAGTAGCCTGCATGTCCCAAATTTTGCTGGTTTTGGACCCGCTATCACGTAAACCAAGTTGATTACTAAATAATGACGTGCTGCACACTACTATATATCTAGACCAAGAATTGAAATAGGCGGAACAACCAAACGTAAACAATGGCTTTAAACACAAAATTCTCAAGAATCAAAACACTCCCACGCAAACCATTCGCCATTCGATAAAGGAAATTTGCTCTATCAGATGACGGTGTTAGATTGCTTTGTTGTGCTTTGATTCTCGAGGAATTTGCGTTTTTAGCCATTGTTTACCTTTGGTTATTCCACCTATTTCAATTGTTGGTCTAGATATAGTCTATCTGGATTGAATATTATTTAGTTTTCCCCTGCTTAGTCTTACTTATTACTATCGGGGGGAGGTAGCTCATCGATTCTTCCGGTTCGCCTCCTAGCATCGTGCTATAAGGTACCAGGCGATAACCAGGTTAGTCGATCGATAGCTCGATGACGTCATTTCGTTGGCGTCTGCAATGGGAAATTCTCATAGCAGGCGTTGACGATGGGACGTTGTCGAGTTGTTGAATAGCAACTATCGTGGTAACTCACCGATTACCTGTCGATCTGCCAAATTTGGAAAGACGTCTGCATTGAATTGTCTCATATAATAATATTCCGCCCATTATATCACAAGAAATTGCGAGTAGCTGAGTGGAATGGAGATAAGTTAAGCATTGGGTACAGGACCAAGTCTCCCCTGGGTGGTGCCAGAAGACGAGCGCAATAGAATCATCAAGTTGCCATAAGGCACGGAATGAGACTATTGCATGGCTGGGTAGTCAAAGTCTTCCATTCGTTAGTCATTTCAGGTGGATTAGAACAGGTTTAGGTTTAGGGTGGGCGTTGGCCAGATTTGGATTTTTCAGATATAATCCTAAATAGGACCTAGATTATGTAATACACTAGTAACCTCATCTTCTGTCACAATGTTTCATTGTGACTAATCAACACTCAATGGGTAAAATATCAAATTTGCGGTAAATTTGAAAAAGGGAACTTGGAGTGTAGAGCGCACTGCCCACCACTGGACGATTCTGAAGCCTGACCAAGTGAGTGGGTTACGGGTTTATTTGATTGTACGTCATTTCCAAGTTATATATAGATACATTCATACCATTGGCATTTTGTATTTGAGATAAGACAGAGACAGGATGCGGAGGGCCCGCTTAGGGGGAGCGTAACCCATGTTATGGCTTCCATTTATTAAATAGTTCAGATAGGCTGGAAATGATAGGTTCATGGTGAGAAAATGTACCATATGGTGCCCGTTCACTGATCAAAATTAGATTCAAATCGTCAGGCCCTGCCCTGGAATAAGGGGATTGACGATGATTTGTCAAGTTTCATTTTGCATTTGCATATAATTGTAAGTTTAGGTTGGCTTTTGTAATTGTAAGATAGATAGTTTGCCTCAATTGAAACATTTAGTTGTATAAACTTGACGAATCATACCTCTAAAATAGTAGTAGTTACAGTGCCGCATGATCTAACAACCACTGCCTGTAACTAATGTTGGAGGGACCGGCAGGGCTGATTACGGATCAAAACTAACATAACTCTAACACTGAAATGATCCCGAAACTAACGCTCATTCATTGCACTTTGAGTCATAAAGTAGTTTTATTTATTTTCCTACTAATCTATCGACACTCTTAGTTTTTTTTCTACCGAGCTCGGCTGTGCGGGTCTCGGCGGGGAGGGTTTCGCTGAGATCTCGGCGGGAGTAACAATTGATTGAGGTATCGGATAATGCCTTTTCTAATAATCTGCCTACGTTTCTTTTCTTTGTTATCTACTTTATCCCCTTTTTATTTTTCTGCTCTTCTTTCCTCTTCTCTTCTTTTGTTTTGTTTGTTTACATATAACTAATACTAATACTCAAGTTATAAACATGAACATCTTCTATTATACATTTATACATATTGTAAAATAAACGTATAAGATTAACACATTTATCACAAATTTAACACTAACTCGAATCACAACGTACTCTTCTTTTTATATATGGCTTTAAAATGCAGTATTGTATTCTCTATAAGGGTAAGTCAAATATATATATATATATATATATATATATATATTCTATAAAATTACTCACTATAAATTTCATGCATTGTTTCTTCTCATTGTAGACAGCGAATAACGAATAGCGAGCAAGGGCGCTATAACCTAGGCGAATACAGCATTCCCTCCGTATAGGTTACGTCCGCACACCGCTCTCTGTTGTCCTTCGACTGAGGTTGGCTGGATCGATTGAGGGATGGCAGTGGGTGGGCGGTGCCGTCCACGCTTGTACGGAGGGAGGACTGTACGCTCGAACACAAGGGGTAAATACCTGTGTTCCATCCCAGGAGATCGGACAACCAAGGAGTGTACATTAACTTTCTTAGCTCTGTCACTCCCAACGATTTATATAGCCTATTTTCAAATCCTGCATACGGAGCGGTTGGTACGGTATGTCCCCGCTCTTTGATTACCTGTGGATTAAATGTTAACCACTGTCTATACTTATTAAGTAGACATGCTAAACATTTACTTCCACAAAAATTAACTAAACGCTACACAGTAGGCCTGGCCGCTTTATTGTTTGTTTCACATCCTTGATGTGCAGCAGGCATTAATAATGACAAGAAAATGATAGATGTATTTCTATCATTTCCAGGATTCTTTCAAGTACTGGCTGTGTATGTGTAGACTAGACTAGACTAGACTTAGTCTTACTTATTACTATCGATCGATATTCCAAATCTTTGGAGTTGCTTTACTTAACATTTTGTTTTACTAAACATTTTTAGCGCCAAGCTTCCATTACAGATTAAACAAATCCTCACCAACGCTAGATGAATGCAATGAAACTACTACATTTTTCTAAGGACGACAATGAGATTAAAAATAAATAGCAAAACGAAGTCGCATCGAAGATCGCCACACACGAGCAAACGGTCGCAAACTATGCCTGTGATGTTGGAACGGTGATATAAACAAAACCACAATGGCAAGGTACAATTAGAGTATGTGTATAAGAGTCACGCCAAGAGAAAACCAGTGGAACTCGCATCACGGTTTTCGAAAGACTCTCTTCCCTTGCACTTGACCACAGAGGTCTCCTGCATCATCTTCAAATGACTTCCAGTGAGAGAAAGAAGTTTAGCAGCTGTCGTAAATTATTATATCAATAATGATTTTGTCAAATTATCTTAACAAAAAAAAATCCACAAAACCTCCTAATTGATCATTCTGATATTCAAACAACGTTTCCAATGACAATTTAAATAGCTCACTGCGTGTTTATATTTTATTGCAATATCTGTCGCTGAGTTTTCATAATATCGTATTTACTTTGTACGATAGGTATACGGTTTGACAGTTTCATATGTAGATTTGGCTTTAGTCTTGGCGTGACTCTTATACGCAGACTCAATTCTGAATCATTTGAAACACTGGGTATTCTATCTTGTACTATCGGCAGACATACAATTTAGCGAATAATGACCAACAGGTCTGTGCTACCATAAGGGAGAGAATCAAAAAGACATACAAAGTACACCGTTGTATTGCTTTACACCATCGACAGACATGATTGTAGTACCGTTGTACTCCGTTAATCTAGTACGTCGTTTGAGGTACTGGATATAGGAGTAAAACGGTGCTACAATCGTGTTTGTCAAAGATATTATGCTAGTAGCTCATATTGTACTTTTTGAGGTACTAGATTAAATGAATACAACGGTAATGCTTTGTATGTCTGTCGATGGTTTTAAAAAATTAATTCCAAAGATATAAAACTCTTAACTTATTGGAAGTAAATGACTGTGCAGTCTCTGATATGATCGTGATCGATACATTTTGATACCTATGCATGCTATTTTGTTTGTTAACCATTTAACAATACAATTCGTCATATGCCGTACCTGCAACGACCCGTGTCCATAAATAAAAACAAGGTGGGTAGCGCAGGGGAACAACCGGTTTAAAGATGAACTTAAATCACTTTGTTCATTTCATATTCTTCAACCAGTGTCAATATCTGAATGAATACCGCAAATGCCAACGCAAGATATGACGTCATGTGCGTACCTGGCTATTACCCGGATTCTGATTTTCATTTACAGCGTGCCAAAAGTTTTCAATGCTTTATCGTGCATTCCGACACTTACCAGACCTGTCCGTACGCCCCACTCCCTACTGGAGTGAGCATTTGGTATTTCTCCGGCACTTCCCATTCTGTTTTGTTGATTTCCACTTTGTAGTATTGGGGCATGGTGCGTTCACTGATTTCACTGCTTACTATCGAAAAATGCTCGTCGCTTTTCTACGGATAGTACACTCTTTTTTACACACTTTTCAACCACAGTCGCGTACTTCGAACCAAACTCAGCCTTTGCCTCGTCAAAGGTTTTATACACTTTTTACTGATATCTGCGGAAATACGAGATAAGAAACACAATTAAAGCACTTTGAATATCTTTTCGTGATGTGTTATTTTTCGTTTCGGCATAAAATCACACTGCACTCTTATCTATCTTTCGTAAGCTTCTACCTAGACACCGTTCGGCTCACATCATATTGTGATGTGTAGAATTTTGTCACTATAGTTTTCACGGCTTGGTGTCATGCAGCCGAATTTTTCCTTCCCTGTTTCAACCCAGAAATAGACCAGAAATAAACAAGCCGAGCTTCACTCTCGGCGTCTATCTATATTATGTTTGTACTGGCCTTCCTCGAAAGAAACCGTGAATATATATATTTTTTTGCACAAATACGACAATCCAGAGACACGTCACACGAACCGCATTATGCATGGAACAACGCGGTAACAGTACACTTGGGTGATCATACTATGTCACATACCGGAATATTATGCGATGATGTAGAATCGTTGTAAAGAGTAGAAGGTGTGAGGAAAATTTGTTAGATGATATATCTATCCGCTCGTTTTGCTTCTACATCAGCAGCAAAACTAAAAACACACTGAGCGAAATGAAGGTTGCGATGAAACTGAATCTGTGAGATTTTAAGTCTATGATCTGACGGAGCGAAGTGAGTAAGAAGTGAGAACATGTCTGACAGTTGCGGCGTAACGTTCACCCCAGTTTGTAGCTCTATCAAACCGAGTCGGTTGATTGTTTAGTTGTATGATGCGTGTTTGATTTGACGGTTATTTTGTAAAACCACGATTAGCAAACCCACTGAAATATTTAGTTAATCGCCCATAGTTTAAACAATATTGTCCATTATCTTCTCCAGTTGCATATGTATTGTATATCAAAATCTTATGAATTTACACACTGTATTAGAGTTGTATCTTTGATTCGTTGTTTGCGAGTGAACCTTTCTACATAACAACGTGTTGTCGATTGTACGCACACATACCGTTTATTCCTTTGTTTTATTTTTTATTACAGTCTCTTAACACTTTTGGGTCATTCGAGATTGATCGGGATGACATTTGAACTCGTAACTTTGGCGTAAGAGTTATGGATGCTAACCACTACACCATGGCCGCCCCTTTATTCCTTTGAATATTGATCTCAGTTTGAGATTATTTTAATGATTTTAATGGTCCCTTACAAAGGTTTGAGCTGGACGATTTATCTTTAAGATAATTAAATATTACATTCTAACAAGGTTAACAAACAAAACCGAACTGGTTACAGTTACAGATATAAATTCCCACCAGAGTTCACAGTTGCTTCATAGCGATATAAATGTGGAAAAGCTCAGGCGTCCACCTCTTAGTTCACCTTTTTGTCCCCCTAAAATATTCACAGGTATTACAAGCGATCAAGAGTTAATGAACAATCAACATAGCATCATATTACACTAGCAACCCCGCAATCTGATGCTACCATAATTTTCAGCAATGTCAGGAATGCTCACGAACCCCTAAACATTTGCAAGAAAACTTATTACTAACTCAAGATATCTTCCAAATAAGCTTCAAAATTGCATTTTTTTTTATCAAATTCTAACTTCAGTCTTCTATATCCGTGATACGCCCGCGAGTCTCAAACCTTTGTAGACTTTTTTTTAAACCTACTACTATTAAATCAAATATTAAAATATCCCTCATCACCATCGTGGTGAACACAATATTTTTTTCGTGGTACTATAGTTCTGGAGTGATTTGAGATTTGGGCGTAATTGCATTTGTAAACAAACACGTCAATCACCGATTTCTCGCGAATAAAAGCTCAATCTCTAAAAGTAATAACACTATTGTCATGACCTGACCGAGGTTTCCAGCCTCAGCTATATGTCTGGACAAACAGCAAGCCGTTAAACAGGTACGACAGCTTCACAAATCAGTGATGCTGCTCCGCTTCCATTACTGATGCTGCTTCTGCTGCTGCTGCTGCTTCTGCTGCTGCTACTGCTGCTGCAACTGCTGATGTCACGAGAATGTCGTCAACGAGCTTAGATAACTCATATTTATACCCTCTGTATTTTCTCCTCGTTTAACCAGCACTGCTTACTTTGCCAGTATATCCCCTGACATCTATCATGCTTCACGCTAATTTAGTTCAACTCAAATGGAGTGTATCATTACTTGACACAACTCTCAAATTTTTATATATTTATTTTAATATTATTATTTCACACCAACTATATCCACCACAACTATGAGGTAGAGGAATGATTCCTCTATCATTTGGTATAGTTTGTTTGTGAGATTGAGCTTTTATTCAAGAGAAATTAGTAAAACATATATTCGTCCAGATACATATATAGGGAGATCGAAGGTGTGGTCACCGAAGCGAGTCTGACCCCCGAGATCTTGGCGAAGCAAGCGGTTGGCCGTTTCAAGAACCCCTTGCTTCCCACGGTTGAGATACTGGAAGTCCAGAAGCTGAACTCAGTATCTTTCAGCGAGGGTAAAAAGAGCTTTACCCCCACAGACTCGTTTCGGGTGACCTTTTCTGGTTCAGCCCTTCCTCACTACATCGAGTTGGGAAAACTTCGGCTACCTGTGCGTTTGTTTGTTCCTCGGGTCATGAACTGCCAAAACTGCAAACAGTTGGGACATACGGCCTCTCACTGTGGCAGCAAGGCACGCTGTTCCAAATGCGGGGAGAAGCACGAGGATGGCGCCTGCACAGTCACTGCACCAAAATGCGTGTACTGTAAGGGAACTCCTCATGGTCTCTCATCGTGCCCGGCGTACAAACAACGCGGGGAGAAACTAGAACGCTCTCTTAAGGAGCGTTCCAGGCAGTCTTTTGCAGCAATGCTAAAAACAGCCACACCATCAACCAACGACAAAAATCCCTTTGCTGTTTTGTCTGATGACGAGTCTGACTCTGACTTGGCTGAGGAGGGAGTTTCTTTCAGTTTTCCGGAAGGTTCTGCACGGAAACGAAAACGCATCCGTTCGCGGAAAGTTGCAGATAAGGAACCCCAAATCAGCTTGCCCAAATCAAGGAGTGATGGAAAAAAGGAAGTTTCAACTCCTCCTGGTTTCCGCAGAACTGATTATAACCAGAATTTTCCATCTCTCCCGGGGACATCAAAAACCCCTGATGGCTCATTTTTAAGAACAGAAGCCCCTTCTTCATCCGGGTTGTTCTCATTTGATAAAATTGTGGACGATATTCTCAAGTACCTCAATATTTCTGATCCTCTCAAAAGCATTGTTCTGGCAATGCTTCCTTCTGTGAAGACCCTCTTGAAGCAATTGACATTGAAGTGGCCCCTCATTGCAGCAATCATTTCCTTAGATGGATAATTTTCCAAACGAGGTCGGGGATTTGATCACTGTTCTACAGTGGAATTGTCGAAGTCTCATTCCTAAATTAGATTCTTTTAAGTTTTTAATTCACAATAATGATTGTGATGCATTTGCTGTTTGTGAAACTTGGCTCTCTTCAGATATCGATCTTCCTTTTTATGATTTTAACATTATTCGACTGGATCGTGAGGATTCGCGTGGAGGAGGGGTACTTTTGGGGATCTATAGAGTGAATCTTCCACAATTTCCAGGTATTGAAGTTGTTGCATGTCAGGCTATTATTAAAGGTAAGAGCCTTTGTATTGCTTCTGTTTATATTCCTCCTAGAACCGTTGTTAATCGCAAACAACTTTCAGATATCTGTTCGGTACTTCCTGCTCCACGGTTGATTATGGGAGATTTGAATTCCCACGGTACAGGCTGGGGGGAACTGTATGATGACAACCGTTCTACTTTGATATATGACCTCTGCGACAGCTTTAATATGACAATTCTTAACAATGGAGAAGTAACACGTTTGGCTGGCCCATCCTCGAATGGAAGTAGATTAGACCTCACACTTTGCTCTAACTCATTATCGTTGGATTGCACGTGGAATGTGATCCAAGATCCCCACGGTAGTGATCACTTGCCGATCAAAGTTTCAGTTGCCAGTGGGTTCAATCCGTCGGAACCCGTTAACGTCGCGTACGATCTTACCCGTAATATCGATTGGACAAAGTTCAAGAATGTGATAGAAGATGCCCTAACGTCGGTAGAAGGGCTTCCACCGTTGGAGGAATATAATTTCCTCTCCAATCTGATCTTGGACAGCGCGCTTCAAGCTCAAACTCGGCCGGTTCCAGGAACGTCTTTCCGTAGGAAACCGCCTTCCCCTTGGTGGGACCACCAATGCACTGAGGTTTATCGTAAAAAGTCCGACGCGTTTAAGCTTTTCCGGAAACGTGGAACACCCGTACATTTCGAAGCGTACTCGGCTCTTGAACGCGAACTCAAGAGCCTCATCAAAGCCAAGAAACGCGGATACTGGCGGCAATTCGTGGACAGATTATCGCGCGAAACGTCGATGAGTACGCTTTGGAATGCGGCGCGAAGAATGCGTAACCGGTCTTCAAACAACGAGAGCGAGGAGTACTCCGATAGTTGGATTCTCAAGTTCGCGCGAAAAGTATGTCCTGATTCTGTGCCGGCACAGATGATTCCTCGCGAAACGACGAATTCGGTAGACGAGATCAGCCAGCCTTTTTCAATGCTGGAGCTCTCACTCGCGCTCCTTTCGTGTGGCAATTCGGCTCCGGGGGCTGATAGAATCAAGTTCAACTTGTTGAAGAACCTCCCAGACGTCGCTAAGAGGCGCATGTTGAACTTGTTTGGTCAGTTCCTGGAGCTTAATATTGTTCCGGATGATTGGAGGCGGGTGAGAGTTATAGCCATTAAAAAGCCTGGAAAACCCGCGTCAGATCACAATTCGTATCGTCCCATTGCGATGTTATCGTGTATTCGAAAATTGTTGGAGAAAATGATCCTTTTTCGCCTGGACAAATGGGTTGAGTTGAACCACCTACTCTCAGATACTCAATTTGGTTTCCGTAGGGGCAAGGGAACGAACGACTGTCTCGCGTTGCTTTCCACTGAAATTCAGTTGGCTTTTGCTAATAAAGAGCAAATGGCTTCTGTCTTCTTGGATATTAAGGGGGCTTTTGATTCAGTATCGGTTGAAGTCCTTTCAGACAAACTCCACGCTTGTGGCCTTTCTCCATTAATTAATAACTTTTGGTACAATTTGCTGTCAGAGAAACATATGAGCTTTTCTCATGGAAACTCTACAGCTTCACGATTTAGCTACATGGGTCTCCCCCAGGGCTCATGTTTAAGCCCCCTTCTGTATAATTTCTACGTCAGAGAAATTGACAATTGTCTAAGGGACAACTGCACGTTGAGACAACTTGCAGATGACGGAGTAGTGTCTATGACAGGACCCAGAGAGGCCGACCTGCAAGGACCCTTACAGGATACCTTAGACAATTTGTCTACTTGGGCTATCCAGCTAGGTATCGAATTCTCCACGGAGAAAAGTGAGTTGGTCGTTTTTTCTAGGAAGCATAGCCCAGCACAACCAAAGCTTCAACTTTTGGGTAAACCGATCACTCATTCTATGTCCTTCAAATATCTTGGGGTCTGGTTCGATTCAAAATGCACCTGGAGATCCCACATTGAGTATCTGAGACGGAAATGCCAACAAAGGATCAATTTTCTCCGAACAATTACCGG